ATATATATATATATATATATATATATATATATATACATATATATGTACACTGGTTCTGATTTCCTAGAGAACCTTATCGAATAGAACACCAATAAAGTAAATGCTGGAGAAGCATGGATTCCCGTCCTCTTGATTTAACCAAGAAAGTTAGAAAGTTAGTTATTAAGCTAAAGCAAGTAATCCAGCCGTTTAGTATCACTCAAATAAATATCTAGATAGGTGTCTCAGTTTTTCACTTGAAAATTATTTGTCTGATATTTTGTGGGCACAAGCTGATCTGCAGGTTCAGAATGTGTCCAAGTACCATTGACCATGTCATTAGATCCATATATGAAACAGAACAATCAGAACAGCTGACATTCCTCATTATCCTGCTGTGCCCCAAAAGATCACATAAATCATTTCACCAAAATCAAAGTGGTGGCCATTCTCAGCCATCCTCTGCTACCACTGGGTGTGGCCAAGAGAGGTATTGATTCAGTTACCAACTGAGCAACAAACTGGAAAGTGAAAAATCCAGTCGCTTGAACTGGGAAAGAATGAAAGAATCACACATGGCTTAGAAGGAACTGGAAAGGTTACACTTCACCAATTCTGGAGCTGTTGGAGATCTGCCTTTGCGCTAAAGCTGCTCATAGTTTCTTCTGTATTAGCTGAAGTTGATGTCAAAGAGTGATAAATTCTATAACTCCTATTTCTGTATGACTCCACCTCCCTTATCTTTGTTCACAAGCACTGCTTTGCACTTGCCTATTGCCACGACCTTGTGATCCACCTTCTCTCACATCTTTAATCTAGAAGTCTTCAAAGTGAGGCCCACACCCCTCCCCTCCCACCCCTGGGGCTAAGAGGTGGATCTCCTAGAGCATTGGAAGAAATATTAGATTTCCTTTTTATACTTATGTTTATCCTTAAAATTTAATTCACATAAAATAAGAAAGAACACATTTCTTCATATAAAATAGGAAGTTAATATATATTACCTGAAACTGGGTTCGCCTCTTGGTGGGTGTCGAGCCAAAAGACAACAACCAAGCCAAAGAAACAGAAAAGGAAGGATTTTACCTGCAACAAGTAAAGTAGAACACAGGGGATAAATCTCAAAGTAGTGTCTCCTGGAACAAAATAACTGGGGAAGCTTTAAGCTAAGGATGCATACACACTCATGAAGGGGCTTGTGCAATGGGGAATTCAGCATGTGATTGGGGCCAAAGTCATCCTAAGATGATGGACTCCAGATCTTAGTTGCTCAAAGTCACCAGGGCCACAAGCCAACTAGTCAGGTATTTGAGTGCTCCAAGGGGTTGAAATCTTGCAGAGATAACTCGAGAATGTGCCCTGGGCAAGTAGTGCCAGTCTGGTAGAGATCACACCGTGATCAGAGACCTAAAATGACTTCTCATGTCAAGAAAACTGTGTCTCATTTTTTCTTTTTTCCAGAGATCCCTAACTCTTTCTATTCATTATACTAGTACTTTTCTCCTAGAGAAAAGCCGTGAGGATTGGTTAACCTAAAACAGTGCCTGGAAAAAAATAAGTTCTGTATCGACTAGTTAAAATTCCTCATAGGTAAGTCAGTGTTAGCAGACACTGCTGAAAGATTCCAGCTGTTTCCTCTTATATGGCAATTATCCTGAGGGAAGAGGGCATTCTACATGTGTGGGAGTTGACAGTGATGATCCTTTCAACATACTGCCTCAAAAAGCCAGTAAAAGTCAGGTTTTGATGATATTCCGTTTTAATCAGACTGGTCTTCCTTGAATAGTGATACAAAGATTTCCACATCAAAAATAAATAAAGTGAAATAAAACAGTAAATTGAAAATAACACTACAAATTCAAACCCAAGCACCGAGAAGAAAACTGCTGCACTGATGCACTGAAGCAGCCACGTTCTGAGGTAGAAACATGATGAACTAATCACATCTAATGTGATTATGTAACGTTCCCTCAATAGTAATACTGGTGACTATAAAAATTCTTATCCATACATTTAAAAACTCAAAAATACATTTTGCACTTACTAAGAATTTTTACAGTTTCAGTGGGTATAGAGTTGATTTATTAAAAATTGACAATCCAGGCACCTGGGTGGCTCAGTCAGTTAAGCGTCTGACTTCAGCTCAGGTCATGATCTCACAGCTCTTGAGTTTGAGCCCTGGGTTGGGCTCTGTGCTGACAGGTCAGAGCCTGGATCCTGCTTCTGATTCTGTCTCCTCTCCCCCTCCCCCACTTACACTCTGTCTCTCTGTCTCTCAAAAATGAATGTTAGGGGTGCCTGGGTGGCTCAGTTGGTTGGGCGTCCGACTTCAGCTCAGGTCATGATCTCACGGTTTGTGAGTTCGAGCCCGATTCAGAGCCTGGAGCCTGCTTCGGATTCTGTGTCTCCCTCTCTCTCTGCCCCTCCCCTACTCGCACTCTGTCTCTCTCTCAAAAATAAATAAACACTAAAAGTTTGTTTTTAATTGAAAATCCTACAGCTTCCAATTAGTCTGCAACCTCTGCCTGATATCAGGGAAAATATAAACTTCCCAGCCAAATTTCAATACAAAACTTGCAATAATTGGAGGGCAAGATTTAAAAGTGAATAAATATTATGAAAGTTGAATAAAATCATGAAAATTGAATAAATATTGTAGCAACTATGGTAGCAGCGGAATTAAAACATCAAAACAAACTGAACTTAGGCCAGCACTTCAGACAGCTCTATATCAGAGTGTAGACTACAGGGTTATTGGGGTGTTTTTAAGAAATATATTCAATCACATTGTTCTCAATAAAAACATACATAAATTATATATACAGTAGTAACATTTTATCACTATCTTAATTTTATATTAGGCAGCAAAACTATTTTACTGCTAATAATAAAATTTAAAAGAATCAAGAATGGAATCTTACTTCATTTTTCTTTGCTTTATATAGTTTTATAATACACATAATCTCAGTACTATAATACTTTAATAATATAATTAATGAACAATAAACATGTAGTGGGTTCAGGAGCAATCAAAAAGCTGGGATAATAAACATTGCTCTAGTTTTTAATTCTCATTGCTGCTAAAGTTATTCTCTTCACACACTCTTGAATCATGCCTTATGCTTCTTTAAAAATCTGTTAATGGTTCCCCATAGCCTAATGAACAAAATGCAAACTCCTTAGCAAAATATATGAGTGACTGGGTCAAACATTTTCAGCCTAATATCTATCTGGCCTTTCCTACTCCCTCAGACATGATTAATTCCCCACATTTCTAAAGCACTTGACCTGTAACTCTAGCATAGCACTCATTTTACTCTGCAGGATTAGAAGTTTCACTGCAATAGTGAATAACACACTGGACAGAGTCAGGAATCCTCCGCTTGCACGCAGTTCTACTGTCGCCTAGCTATGAGATCCTGACTCAGCACTTTATCTATCTGAGCTTAAAGTCCTCATCTTTAAAATGGAGATAATGACAGAGGGTTAGAAATAACATATGTATATTTTCTAGGTAAGTTGTCTCTCCAGCAGTCACTCAATACATACTAGTTGAATCAATACACCAATGAGTAAATGATTCGTTTTGAGAAATAGATTTATACATAGAATTTGACCCAAAGTGAATTACCTTACATTCCTACTGCTATAGATCTCTAAGGGACACACAGATTCTGATTAATTACTCATACAAATTAATAGAGGTACCATGTATTACATGGGAAAACAGCTTATTTTCTTCTTTTAGCTTTTTTAAAAATTTATTTTCAATAAATGTAAATGTGACACAACACTTCCTTTAATCACCTTTAATTATTGCCAAGACACATTCAAATTTGTTTGCCTTTTAACATCTAAAGCATTTTTTCCTATTTCTGACGATTTTATTTTAGGATTAACAGAAGTTGTTTCTATTTGGTTTTCAAAAATACTCACCACTTTCTCAAGAAAAAAGGGGAGCTTGGGTTTTAAGTGGCTAGAAGCCTCAATGTAGTGTAGGACTTCTCTCCAGTGCTATGCAATACGTGACAGGAACCACTATGGGTAAAATTTATCTTAGACCCGTCCTGAGAAATTTAGTCAACGAAGCAATTCAAATAAGTATAATTAATTTTTTTTAACTATGTAACCACATAGCTTGGTGGATGGTGTAAGGTTCTGGGAATTGGTCAGCTCCTTCATGGATGCATATCACAAAAGATCCCAACTGTGGGCCAGGTTAATTTGTAAAGCTTGCAGACTCTGGCAACCAAAGAGAGCAATAAAAAGGAGTTGTTTCTGATATGAGTCACTGTGGCCTTTGTCTACACACACTCACAGAAGAAAGCAATTTTTAACCACACAACTCTTCCCAAATGCACACATATGTGGAAATAAGGAAAAATACCCAGTGAGCATATGTGTGATTTAAAGAGCAAGCAAAACTTCAAACTCTTGGCCGGGCTCATGTAGATGACTAAAAACAATGTTTATGACATGCCAAGAAGACATCTATGTATATATATTTATATGTTAAATAAATGTAGTGTGATCCATATTTTGAGTTAAGTAAAATGTGAACATATGTTTGTAAATATTCCAGAGACATTTCTCTAGGTGAATTGTATGGATGTGTTTTACAGAAAGTGTCACAAAAATTCATGTGTGGGTGGAGTCAATGCAAAAGCAAAAATAATAACTCAGTCCCTATAGATTACTGAATGGTTTTAATGCCTCTGCTTGAGTCCAAGCCAGAAATATACTGAAATTCTCTGGCTAAAAGGATTATTAATAAAATTATTTACTTTGAAATTATTTCTTACTTCTACAAATGCTATAAGATTCTGGAGAACCCCCCAGTGAACTTTACTAGCATGTTTCAGATCTGAGAGCAATCACATGTAGTTACCCATCATGCAAAATAAAGACAAATCCTGAAACTCATGAATTCTGGAAACAGAGAAAAAGGATATGGAGAAAGGAGATTATACACTGAGGCTCTAATGTCATTTACAGACTTTACCTTTCAATTCTCATTTAACTGGATGGATAGAAAAATCCTTCCCATAGAAAGATACCTTATAAGAACCTTTGTTATTAAGGCAAATGAGACTTTTTAAAAATCACAATTCTAATCTGGGGAAAATATTCTGACAAGTTTCAAATGAACTGAAGCTGTTCAACTTTTGAATTTTCTTTTTTTTTGACATTTATTTTTGAGACAGAGAGAGACAAAGCATGAATGGGGGAGGGTCAGAAAGAGGGAGACACACAATCTGAAACAGGCTCCAGGCTCTGAGCCGTCAGCACAGAGCCTGACGCGGGGCTCGAACTCATGGACCGCGAGATCATGACTTGAGCAGAAGTCGGCTGCCTAACCGACTGAGCCACCCAGGCGCCCCTCAACTTTTGAATTTTCAAATGATTTTGAGCCTGCTGGTATTGGAAACCATCTTTGGAGAAGCCAAGTTCCATTTATAAGAAAAAAATTGAAAAGATATGCAGTGACCTTGCCTCCCATCCACAAAACTGTCCTAAAATTAATAATTAACTTAATAAACAGTTAATGTTTTCTAAACTTTATATGGATTTAAATACCAAGGTGAATATATCATAAAATTTATTTTGAATTTTTTTTTTAATTTTGTTAATGTTTATCTATTTTTGAGAGAGACAGACAGACCCAGTGCAAGTGGGGGAGGTCAGAGGTCACACAGGGATGGAGACACAGAATCCAAAGCAGGCTCCAGGCTCTGAGCTGTCCACACAGAGCCCAACACGGGGCTCCAACTCACCAACTGTGAGATAATGACCTGAAAAGTCGGACGCTTAACGGATTAAGCCACCCACGTGCCCCTTATTTTGAAACCTTTTAACTCACTTTCTGGGAACCCAAGGGTTAATTATGTGATAAAGCTATCAAAATAAGTTTGGTATATTGGGGTACAGTGGGTAAGGTGAGTAGGGCATTATTTAGCGTATGCCATGTTGAAATAATTTATGAAATTGAAAATAGTATTCTTTCCAGAGTTCATTTTTATATCTAAAATATATACTAAGTATATGCTCAAAAGTATACAAAATCTTATAAGCAAGATTCCTTATGC